TTCCCATCCCAGCTCCTGCAGGGTTATTTTCGCGACACTTGCTGTGTGTGGGCGCGCATTGTCGTGGAGCAAGATGACTTGTCCTTCTCGGTTGCGCCTTTTCAACTGAAGAGCCTCATTAACTCGACGCAGTTGAGCCACGTAAAGGTCCTTGTCGACCGTCTGGTTCTTCTCGAGAGTTTCCCAATGCCCGATGCCCTCCCAGTCCCACCAAACGCAAAGCATGATTTCATCGGGATGAAGGTCTTGTCTCACTCTGGGTGTTGGTGTGTCTCCTGCACAGATCCATTGTTTCCGTTGTTTGACGTTAGCATAGAGACACCATTTTTCATCTCCTGTGATGATTCTGTGGAGAAATCGGTTCCTGTGGTCATGTGTAGCGCGATGTCGAGCGAGATTTTGCGCTGCGATTCGGAGGCGACTTGCCTTCGTTTCTTCCGTGAGTTCATGAGGTACCCATGATCCAAGTTTCTGAGTGTATTCCATCGAATGAAGATGGCGAAGGATCGTCGCATGATCACAGTCCATCTTTTCAGCCAATTCTCTAGAAGTTTGTCGGCCATCTTTTTGATAAGGTCCCTTAGTTGCTCCTCGTCAAAATCTGAAGGGCGTCCGGTGTGTGGAGCGTCTTCCAAATCGAAATCGCCCTCTTTAAACTTGGCAAACCACTTCCGGACGGTTGATTCACCTATAGCATCCTCTCCGTACACACTGCAGATGTCACGAGCGGTTTCAGCAGCTTTCTGGCCTTTATGAAAGGCGAAAAATAGGAGGTGTCGAAAGTGCTGATTTTTGCCGCCTGGGTACTGCATTTTCTGTACCCTGTATCCGAACACAGTTCGACTTTTGGAAAAAGCAATCAGGCAGTAATGTAGATCAGAAAAAGCACTTTCAAATGATATGCGCCGTTTCCCGGGTAATTCTCATATTGATTGAATTTTTAGCCTTCAAAAAAAAACGCTACGATATTATGCACCAACCCATTATGTCCGATTCAGTTGCAGAGGAAAACAATCTGCTCTCCAAATGGCCTCCATCCCATTCAATCACTGCTGATCACATACCTCTTCAATTCATTAG